CGCAAGTGCGCCAGAACTACCACCAGGACGCCGAGGCCGCCATCAACCGCCAGATCAACCTGGAGCTCTACGCCTCCTACGTCTACCTGTCCATGGTGAGCACCGCCCGGCCTGCGCGCCCCGAGCGGGCGTTGTGCGGCCGCCGCTGGTTGGCGGATGCGGGGCGGCGCGCTCGGGGTTGCCTGGTGACGGCGCGAGGTCCCGGGGGACAGGCGGCCCTGGAGCAGAGGAGGGAGGGGAAGCTCCCGAGGGCGGCGGCGGCGGCGCGGCCACTGACCTCGCCTTCGGCTGTTCGCCGCGGGCTGTGAATTTTGCAGCTGGAAAGCTCGCGAGCCTGTTAAAAGCAAAGTGCAGGGAAACATAGTCAGCGCCCCCTCTCCAGGCAGGCAGGTTGTGTGTATCCCCGGCCGGAGAAATTCTCCTACAGGCCCTGCTGGAGGTGATCGGTAGGCGTTATTCTAAAGCTTCATGAAGTGATCGACTCTCAGTGACCAGGTCTCAGTTTTCTGGTGTTTTTGGGTGTACGTGTGGGGGTTTTTTTGGGTTTTTTTTTTTTTTCCGTTTTTTTGGTCTGAGACAGAGTCTCGCTATGTAGCTTAGGCTAGCCTTAAGCGCACTTTGTAGTCCATTCTGGTGTCAACTCACAACGATCCTCTTGCCTCAGCCTCCCGAGCGCTGCGATTACAGGCGTGCACCACCACACCCGGCGGTATTCTAGGGTTAGAGTAAGAGCTGAGTCCCTTCCAGGAGCACTGTGGTCTGCCTTCTTCAGCTCTGGCCCCTCTTGCTGCCCTGCTGAGAAGGGCAGGCAGTGCCATCAGCGCCTCTGCGTGACAGCTGCCTTCCCTGTCTCTGAGCTCTTACTAGGAAGTGGTTGTGTTTGTTTTCAGTCTTACTACTTTGACCGCGATGATGTGGCTTTGAAGAACTTCGCCAAATACTTTCTTCACCAATCCCATGAGGAGAGAGAACACGCTGAGAAGTTGATGAAGCTGCAGAACCAGCGCGGTGGCCGGATCTTCCTTCAGGATATCAAGGTAAGAAGGGCCTGGAAACTGAGGGACTCCTTCCCTGTGTGCAGTGATGGCTCGGGATTGCAGGGGCTACTACGTGCCCTGGTGTGGGCACACAGTCAAGGGCAGGGCCAGTACGGCAGGAGCTCCCTGGGGGAGTCTTGGGCTGCTGCAGGCCAGTTTACAGAGGGGTTGATCTAGTGCCTCTTGCTCAGAAACCAGACCGTGATGACTGGGAGAATGGGCTGAATGCGATGGAGTGCGCGCTGCACTTGGAGAAGAGTGTGAATCAGTCCCTCCTGGAGCTGCACAAGCTGGCCACTGATAAGAACGACCCCCATGTGAGTAGGAGCCTGGGGTGGCAGCAGCGGGGCCCTGCGTGTGGGGCGGAGGAGGCTGACTGTCTTCTCTCCTAGCTGTGTGACTTCATCGAGACGCACTACCTGGATGAGCAGGTGAAGGCCATCAAAGAGCTGGGTGACCACGTGACCAACCTGCGCAAGATGGGAGCCCCTGAGTCTGGCATGGCGGAGTACCTCTTTGACAAGCATACCCTGGGGGACAGTGACAATGAGAGCTAATGCCACCAAGACGGCACATGCATGTTGGGGCTACCTTAACCTTTTCTATAAACTGTACCAGAACATCTACTTAAGTTCTTTAATTCCTTCAAATAAAGAAATTTGGTACCTGGTTATTTCTTGGTTGTGAAGTGTCAGAAATCTGTCATCTTTCTAGATTCCTCAATGGAAGGGTCCAGTATATCACACTAATCAAAGTGTTACACCTAAAAGAATCCTGTGCTTATTAAATTCTTGGCTTGGGAAACAGAGGCATGGGGGTGTGTTGGATCAGCCTGGACTGCCGGGCAGGCGACCACAGCTGTTGCCTGTGTATGGTGCACTCTGGCTTGCAGGATGGGGATTCATAAAAAAGGCAGCTAAGAGCGGAAGGAGTCCAGAGCTCCTTTATTCTCACCCACTGAGCTAACCAGGCTATCACAGGAACAAGCGTGTAGACAGCTGTGTGGCTACGACTGGACCAGTGTCCCGGCGGTGTACATGCAGGCGAGGACCAGGCTGGTGACATCTTCCTGAGATGGATCAGGAGTGGGCAATGTCCCTGTGTGGGGCGTGAGAAGGGTCAAAGCTTGAAGTGGAAGGCATGTTCTGCAAGATTAGGATTTGTGGCAGGTGCTCAAAGTTCAGATCTAGGGGCTGGGAGGTACAGCTCAGCTTAAGTGCCTGCCTGGCAAGTGCAAGGTCCTGAGTTTGATCCCTGATACTAAAGAAAAAAAAAAAAAAAAAGAACCCTAGGTGTTGGGAAAAGTTCCTGCCTTGCTCTGTCAAAAGCTGCCCTAGAGGCAAGACAGACATTGCCCCTTGAGAGTTCAGGCGTGAAGCTGCTCTTGAGTATAGACTTGGGAGGCTGCGCTTCTGCGCTGTGACTGGGAAGGCAGGAGCTGTGAACTGGGCAAAATCCAACTAAAGAGCAGTGACTTCGTTTTGTTAAGAGTGGGCCTAAGGTCACAGGAGTTTCAAGAGGCTGCCCCTCCCTCCTGTGGGTGCTTGATGGCATCTGAGAGCCTGGGCAGGTGCTCCTTTGCCAGCTGCCAGCTTGCTGGACAGAGTCACATCTTGGTGCTGCCTACAACCTCGTGTCCACTGCCCCTGGCCTGCCAGCCCCACAACCTCATCTTCCACTGGCCCCAGCTGGGCAGGTCTTCCTGGCCATGCAAACTCTTGGTGACACAGGCAGCACCCCTCCGTGTCCCGAGGGTCCTGGTGAAGGGACCAGGGTGTGCGCCCTCACCCAGGAGGGGCACGGGTCCTCCTTACTCAGGCAGCAGTGGAAGCGGGGGAAGTCGAGGCTGGAAGGCAGGCCCTGCAGTGGAGCCTGGGCGGGAAAGGGTTGGCAAGGCCTGAGAGACCCTGGCTGGGGACAGACCTGTCTTCCAAGGCCCAGTAGGGGTCTGTGTGCTCCCTGGGTGCAGGGTACAGGCTGCCAGGCGACTGCTCCGAATGTGGCTCTGGGAGGTGACCTTTGGGAGGCTCTGGAATATGCATCAGGTCCATATTCTTCTTGGGATCAACTCCAGAGGGCTCCTCTGAGGGGCTGTCACTGGTAGGGAGCAGCTCGTAATTGGTCCTAGACCCCGCCTGCTTCGGGCTGTGGTCTTTTGTGTCTGTGTCTGAGGTGTCCTGATGCGTCTGGGATTCAAACAGTTCAGGGAAGACCATGGGGAAGCTGCTGAGGGGCGTCTGCGGGGCGCTGTGGTAGCCAGTCCTCTCATAGAGGGGGGCCACCTTGAAGGCATCTGTGGGACGCAGCTTTCCGTCCTCCTGTGCCCCAGGGTACTGCTGGGTGGCTCTGGTCCAGATGTAGTGGCGGAAAGGCTTCTTCTTGGGGGGAAGCAGCTTCCTCGAAGGGCACTCACTGAGCTGTTGCCCGAGGAAGCGGCCGATGACTTCCTGGTTGGCCTCGTTCTCCTCCTTGATTGGCTGGAACTCCATGTCTTCTAGCTGCAGGCTACAAAGGGCAGAGCTGTCCCCTGCTCTGTGCCCACAGTCCTGGCCTGGCATTGCAGACCTCAGTTCCTCATACCTTCCTCCCTTTATGACCGCCAGCTCCAGGTCATGGAGTGCCTGTCCCGAGTGGGGAGCATTCACTTGGGGCCGGTGGGACTCGACTTGGGACTAGGGGAGGTTACCTGCCAGCTCACAGCAGGTGACTTCTGCCCCAGGTGCTGTCTCTTTCCAGGTGGACAGGTCTTTGGACCTTGCACCTACAGTCTGGCCTTTGGGTCTGATCCCTGCACGCATGACCTGCGTGTGCCTTGGAGGCAAGGTCTGTGTGTGACAGATTGGTGACCTCCTTCCCAGAGGGGCTCAGGCCATGCAAGGCTCCATGCACCCCAGAAATGTCCCTCACCCAAGCCAGCCTCCGACCTTCACTGGGTCACCTTCCCAATCTGTCCTTGTGCCAAATACGGCCTCAAGCTAGTCCCAACTAAAGAGCACAGAGACCTTGCATTCTGGGAGGCTGAGGCTGGAGGATCGAAGTTTGAGTTCATCAGGGGCAATTCAGCAACTTAGTGAGACTCTCTCAAGATTTTTTAAAAAAGGAGAAAGGGAGGGAGGAAGGGAGGGCTGGGGACACTCAGGGCAGAGCGCTGGGCTCAATCCTGGTCACACACACAGCAGGCAAAACTGCACCACAGGACCTTTGGGATGGGCCCTGCCACCCACCAGCTGCCCCCGAATAAGGGACTGGGTCGAGAGACAGCTCCCGGCAGTAGCACCTGTCTGCTGTGTGGCCTGTGCCCTGCCCAGACACCCCTCCTATGTGGGCACTCCCCCTGCTCTCACCCAGACCTCAAGTTGGCCAGAAAAGGTCCGGCTCCAGGTGGGAAGTGGGCGCTGACACCTTATGCCACCACCACCACCGGCTATTCACGAGGGCGCCTCTCCTTCTGACCAGAAGGGAGCGCCTGGGTGGGAGGGCTCCTGTCCTGCACAGCTGGGGGAGGGGGGCACAGAGGTGGCGGCAGACACAGCTGCCACTGTTGGCCTCTGCTGTCTCCATGACTTTGGACTGGGAAACACGGCTCCCCTCTCTGAGCTGTGCAGAGTTGTGTGAAAACGGGGAGATAACCCGGAACTGTGCGGAGGGTCAAGGCGATGTGCACAGGAGCAGAGCGGGGCCCGCCGCGCGGGGGCGCCAGCGAGCACAAGCAGCACTGTGGCGAGGCTGCAGCCCTCCCAGCGCGCGGCCCACCTGATATCGAAGGTGGAGCCCAGGAAGGACGTGCGGCGGGACTGAGAGGCAGCGACCGTGTAGGGGGGCTGAGGCTCCGTCTCGTTCCAGTACATGTCCCGCTCCAGGGGCGGCAGGTTCTGGTGCATCTCGTCCACAGACAGTAGGGACACCTGGTCATCAGGGACAGAGGGCACAGGACCGTGGCTTCACCTGATGACACGGTGAAGCCACGGCCCTTTGCACTTCAGCTTCCTTGCCTGTGAAATGGACATGGGTGCCTGCCTGCAGCCTGGACGTGCGGGCGAGTCCTGGGCGAGGGGCTGGTTGCAAGGGGGAGGAGGGCCAGGTCGCTTACCAGCTGGCAGGGCTCTCGTGCATCCTGACCCGTACCTGCAGATTCCTGTCGAGGATCCAGTTGATTTCAAAGTCATCATCATCCTCTCCAAAGGGGTTGATGAGCTGCTCGGCCACCTTGGGGACAGGAAAGGTTCTGCAGGCCTTCCGGGGGAGCCTGGAAGCGCTTTCCTGGCAGAGTGGACCCCACCATTCCCAAGCCCCAGGCCCCGGGCTGCCTGACAGCTGTCTTCACAGCCATGGCTCAGGCCACACGCCCTGCCCTAGAAGGCACAGAGTCCCTGGGTGCTCCCTGAGTGTCTCCGCTGTCCCCGGGGAGCCACTCTGTATCTTTCCCGGGGTGCCATCCTTTTATTCATTCACTGTGCTGAATGAGGGGGTGTTCTTGGTATGTGGAGGACCACTGGGGCGACTGTCCTTGAAAGTGGAGCAGTTGTCGCCATTTGGCTGGGCCTGACCCTATTTCTATGCATTGATATGTACAGAGCTGGCTAGACTTTTCCACTGGCTTTGAGCTGGTGGCAGTCTTTGAAGATGGCAGGCGTATGTCCCTGGTTACCCCCACCTCTCTAGTGTGAGCCAGGTGGAGACGGGATGAGGAGCCAGTGCTCCTCGCTGTCGGCTGGGATTGAGCCTTGAGGTAGAGGCTGTGACTTCCTGGGCTTGAATGAGGACATGCCAGAGCTAAAGCACTGACCCCAAAACATCAGATCCAATCTCAGTTGTGTAATGTGGATTATGCATACCCTTCTCTGCACTGCAGAGGCAGTTTTTGGTCTTTTTTTATTTTACTGTATTTTTTGGTTGAATTATTTTTGAGAAGTTTAGTTTTTGCTTTTGGTGCCCAGGACCGAACCCTGCCACCGAGCCAAATCTCCAGCCCCTGCATTGCAGGCCTCTTACCTAGCCCAGCTCAAAGCACTCACTCACTTCCCACCACTCTCAGTCACTTGACCTCAAGCCCCTCCTTTCTTCCTGACTAAATAAAGCCCTGCTTAGGCCTTGGGTCAAGGCCTTTGTTCCAGATAGCCATCATCTTTGCTGGCCTTAGGATCCCCTGGCTCCCGTTCCGGTTTGTGTCTAGCTGTTCCCCCAAAGCCTCATGCTGTCATGGGTGGGGACTTCTAGAGTTTGAGATTAACTCATGATCCACTGGGATTATGGGTTTTAGTAGATTATGGGTGTGGGTGCTCCACCCAGCCTGGGGCATGTAGCCTGAACACAACCTAGCGGAGACAGACATCGCCTCTGTAGCTGTTGTCACCTCTACTCCCCATTTTGCTTTTGCTTTTGCTCTTGCTCTTTGCTGCCACCATAAAAGGTTGCGCTTTGCCATGTGCCATCTGCCTTGGAGCCAGCTGAGTATGGACTGAAACCTCCAGGAACTGGGAGCTAAATAAACATTTCCTTCCTTGATTTTTGGTGTCAGGTATTCATCCCAGCAATGAGAGAAAAATAACTGAGACAGCTCCCAAAACTACAAATGTGCCTAATGTCTTTATTCTCACCGTAGGTTGCACTGAAGTGGTAGTTGGGAATTAACTTGATGGGATTCCAGTAATTTATCCATGGGATTACAAATATAAACTTCCCAGACCAAGATGAGGATCAAAAAAGGGCTCTCAAAAAAAAGGGGGACAGGAGGAGCACTTTATACTGGTGGGCAGTGCCCTGACAGTCCCACAGAGGCAATGAGCCACCCTAAGCCCCCAGGGACAGCTTGCAAACCACAAGAACACCCTGGAGAACTTCAAGGGTAGACAAGTGGGATCTGAAGGATTTTTTTTTTTTTTTTTTTTTTTTTTGCAGAACCGGGGATTGAACTCAGGGCCTTGCGCTTGCCAGGTAAGCGCTTATTCCACTGAGCCATCTCCCCGGCCCCTGAAGGATCTTTAGAAAGCAAAGGTAACTGAGAAGAGACAGAGGCAGAGCAGGTGTGTGTGTGTGTGTGTGTGTGTGTGTGTGTGTTGCATGTGTGTGGTCCTCACCACCACTGCCAGAAAAAATTAAAAAATGGAACAGAGGAGTGGGTCAGAGATGGAAGGAAGGCAAGAAAAAGGCAGAAAAACTGTCACTTGAAGGCACACTAGGGCACTAGGGCACTAGATCCCTGCTCAGGGAGAAACAGCACCTGGGCCCTGCGGGTGGGGGTACGGGGGTCCTGAGCTTCTTCTAAAGGGCTCAGGGTTGTGAACATCCAGGCTTTTGGTCACTAAGCAGAGTGGACTAGCAGCCAGATGGCCTGGCCCTACTTTGGCTCTTACTGGGCACCACGAGCGCTGAGGCCACGTGAGCCCTCTGTCTCCTGTGCCTGCACTTCTCGGCCAGACACAGCGTGGCAGGTCTCTCTGTGCAAGGCCACAGGAACACCCAGCGCTGTCCAGGACTGATGGCGCCCAGTGCCCCACTTCCCACTGGAGATGAGAGGTGAGTTCCAGGGGCTCACCTTCAGCCAGCCCATGTAGAAGAAGAACTGCAGGAACGTGAAGATGGGGACCACCATGTCCATCTCGTGACCCTGATAGGCCTTGGCTGGGATCAGAAACTGCCGGCCCAAGAGACAGGCCAAGAAGAAGCTGTACACTGCCACGGTCACCACCTGGGAAGGGAGGGGAGGGCTGGCTGGGCACGCGGGCCTGCTGTGACTGTCACCCCCCATGCTGCAGGACACACAAGTTTCCATGGGCTGCACTGGCTGGAGCCTTCGGAGTGCAGACCCAGGCCCGGGCTGCGTCGGCTTCCTGGGTCCGCCTGGCCTCGGCCCCAGGTCCTACCTGTGTGTACACCAGCGGGATACTGATCCAGTCGTAGCCGTACAGGAGCCCACATTGAGTGCGCAAGATGCTCATCTCCTGGAGGAGAAGGATTTCACCGCCAGCCCCGGCGGTGCCCAGCTCCTCCCCGGGCGACAGGGGCTGGGCTTGCCCACCCCTGCTGTGTGATCACCGCAGCTCACAAAACCTTTCTGTGCCTCAGCAACCTCAGCAGGGGCCAGAAACTCACGAAGCCCTTCCAGGCCCTGACAGACCCGCGGGGTGCGGCCTCCCCTGTCCCTCCCGTGGTGGGAGGGCTCACGTTCAGCAGGCCCTGCAGCAGCACGGGGTCGCGGATCCGGCCTTCGTGCCAGGCCTGCATGGCCAGGTTGGCAAACCACACCCAGGGCACCCAAAACATGTTGTGGGGGAGGCTCAGCTGCTCCAGCTTCTTGTACTCCGCGGGCGTCATGAAGCCTGCGGAGTGCGGGAAGGCGCAGGTGGGGGACTCAAGCCCTGATTCCGTCCCACCCAGCTCTGCCAGCGCCCAACCTCAAGTGCAAGAGCATGGCTCCGCCACTCAGCTCCCGCCCCTAGCATCAGGCCCCGCCCACCGGCCAGCACCAGGGCTGCCAGCCTCGCCCCACTTCGCCCGCCCAACCCAAACCACGCCCACAGCGGCACCAAGTATTGGAACTCCGCCCATCTGTCGGGTTGGCCCCGCCCACTCAGTGCCGGGGGTTGGAGGCTCCGCCCACCCACCCACGTTCCGCCCTCAGCTTTTGGCCCCGCCCGCCTGCTAAGAGCACCCGCCCGATGCTCCACCCACTCCAGCTCCGCTCCTCCCACTTATTGAGAGAGGAGGCTAGAGGCTCCTCCTACTCCCGCCCACCCTGTGCAGCCTTTGGCCCCGTCCACTATCCGTAGCAGGGGCTAGAAGCTCCGCCCCCTACCGCCCCGCCCCCAACTTTTGGCCCCGCCTACCCGCTTGCACTAGGTGCTGCAGGGTAGGGAAGCGCTTGTAGACCGCGGTGCTGACGCTGCGCAGGATGATGACGTGACCCAGTATGGCGTAGCGCATGAGCGTGCGCCGCATCATCCGGGCGTGCTCGTCGCGACCCTCCACGAAGGCAGACACCTGGCTCATGAGGCGGTCGGGCCACGGCAAGTTCTCGTACTGGTTCCACCAGCGCGTCAGGACCAGTGTCACGTAGAAGCCTGCGGAGGCGGGGCGCGGGCGGCTGTGGCGAGCTCGGGGCCCGGCGCGGCGGGCCGAGGAGCGCGCGTCCCCGCGGACCCCACCCCCACCCCGCGAGTCCCGGGCGGCCGGAGGGGCGCTCACCCAGCACGAAGGACACGGGGATGAGCTGGATGTAGTTGTCGCAGTACAAGCTCAGCTTCTCAAACACCACCTGCTGCCTCTCGCTGAGGGCCAGCCTGGGGACAGCGCGGAGATGGGGCCGACGGGGCAGGGGCGGGGGGACGGGGCAGCGCGGGCGACCCGGGCGGGCCCTGCTCTGTGGCCCCGCGAGGGCCATCGTGGCCCCGGGCACGCAGCCGCCGGGACTGCGGGTGCAAGGAGCCTCAGGGCGGGAGTCAGAGGAGCGGGGTGGGCGCGGGGCTGAGCAGACTGCCCTCTGCTTGATTTTGGTTTGCATCTAAAACTACTCCAAAGGCAACAAAACCCTCCAATTAAAAAGAAAAATGTGTGTAGGAAGACCTAAGTGCTGTGTTAGATTATATCTGACCTTCGTTTTATTGTTGGGGTAAACACATAATCCTCTGCCTAGGAGTATGTGGGATGCCTGAAACTGGAGGCTGCGCTGGCCCGGCGCAGCGAGGGGTCCCGAGCTTTCCCGGGCCGGGCGTTGCAGCAGCAGGCGGGGAGCGCACAGGGGGTGAGGGAGCCCCCGTCCCTCGGCCTGACGCCTACCTGTAGATGTAGCGGATGGTGTAATAGCAGAGTAGAAAGATGAGGAACTCCCCGTAGAGCAGCTTGTAGATGCTCCCTCGCCAGCAGAGCAGCAGGCGGCAGAAGGAGCCCACGCGGGCGTTGGCCACCTGGTTGGTGTAGGTGATGGTCATGGCTGCGCTGGGCTTGGGTCCTCCTGGGTGGGTGGGTGCAGAGGTAGATGTGGGGGCCCTTGGTCAGTTGCTGGTTTCAATTCACCTGTGACTCTAGCCAGGACCTGTCCTTCCCCCAGGCCTTGGCTCTGTCTCCTGGACCACACCAGGAGGGGGCTGAGATGGGCTCCAAGGTCTCTGCCTGCCTGGGTGGTGGTTACCCAAGCAAGTGAGCCTTAAAGCCTGGCCTGTGTCTCCAGGGAGGACAGATGTGTGCTCAGGGCCTTGGGCTCCCTGGAGCGAGGAGCAGGGAGATGACCTGGCCAGCCCTGCCTGCCATGGCATCCCCTTCCCCGCGCGGGGCCCAGGGACCAAGTAACGTCCAGGGATGGCTCAGTGCCTGGGGATGCCCTTCCTGAGAGAGTTTAGCAGCTCGTTCTCCGGGTGGTTGCCTCAGAGAGGATACCCCACCCGACTGGCCTGCTGTTGCCCTCGCGAGGCCGTGGCCACCGCGCTGATCCTTCCTGAGCGTGTGTTGTGCAGGAGGTCCTGCTGCTTGCTGCTGTACTTCCACAGCAGGTGCGCAATAAAAATGCCGTGAAGCAATGAGGTAGCCACAAACTGGGGGTGTCACTGCACCTGGTGACACCAAGCCCTTTCCCGTCTCAGGGCCTCTGCAGACACCCAGGGCCACACGCCTGCCCATACATACACAGGCTGGCCAGTCCCCCACCTTGAAGGCCCTCAAAGCCCAACCCTGTGTGCACTGGTGCCCATACTCACAGGGGGCTGCAGCTGGCCAGGCAGACCCTCCAACGTCTGTCCCTGGGCTGGTGGGCGCTCAGAGACCCATGGCCAGAGTGCCTGGCCACCGTTGGACGCTGGCCCTGCCCATATTCGTGATTACTATGTGGTCACTTGACCGTCTAAACCAGGGCAGCCACAAAGGAGCCCTTGTCTGGCCGCCTGTAATCTGCTGAGTATAGCCAGCCTGGCATAGGCAGGGCCCTTGTAATTCGTTCTAGCGCTAAGATCTGGGGCAACACTCCCCTCTCTTGGGGTCCTAAAGTCCAGGAGTCCTGGGCTCAAATGTCTCAAACAGAGTTAGGGACACTGGGGCCTCTGCCAGCTTGGGGTCTGTGGCAACCATGTGGGCTGGGGAAAGAGCCTTGACCCTCGGGCAGAAATCCTGGCTCCTGGTCTTGGCCCCATGGCGACCTGGGTGGGGACTCCCACATCCCTGTCAGAGCAGGAAGCTGTTGCTCTGGAATTTCATCTTCTCTCTTGATGACAAGATCTGGCTGTGCTGGGAGGAGCTCTGATTGCCTGCTGCTGGTGTCATGGTTCCCCAAATCCCCTGAATGGAGGCTGGGGAGCTGTGGCAAGAAATGGGAGTGTCCTTGGGTGGAGTCCAGCCCTGGCTTCCTGGTGTGGCCTGGCAGCCAGCGTAAGAGGGTGGGAGTGTACGTGCCTAGACCTGAGGTGGCTGGGAGAACCCACCAGTGTTCCGTACACTCAGCTCCCGTGCTCAGGGAGAGGAGCAGAGCTCCAAGCTGCACCGGTTCTTGCTGAGATGGTTCCTGACATGCTGCTGCCAGGGTCTTCAGGAGTCTATGCCTTGGGGACATTGGACGGGACGGTGATGTGAGTGGCCTTGGGACCACGCGTCCACACGCCCTGACCTAGGACGTGACCCTGAGCCTGCATTCCAGCAGGCTCGCTGTCCCCGCTCGCCTTCTGTCCCTTTCCATCAGTGTGTTAACAGGGCCAAGCCACGAGGTCTCGGACGAATCCCTTTGCCTGTAGCCCTACCCCTGTGAGCAGCAACAGCCACACTGCCCCCATCCCAGTCCCCCACAGACACCTTCCTCACAGCTGCTATCAGCTGTCCCCGCCCAGATCTGGACAGGCTTCCTAGAAGAGGAGTGATGAGCCCTCCATTTCTTTCTCTGTGAAATGGGGCAGTAGCATCTGCCTGGGCAGCAGGGGTGAGGAGAGCCGAGGGGGACAATTCTGCCTCTCCTGCACCCATGTCTGCCCAGGAGGCTGTCCTCGGCAGCACTGGCAAGCCCAGCCCCCATGCCCACCACATGGCCACTGCTCGTGAGCTGGGGTATTGTGTCTTCCAGGTGCAGGTGACTCACTGTGGGATCTCCTTCTCTCTTAACTCTTGGGAACACACCCTGCTTCCCAGGCGGCCAACACAGGTGGACAGCGCCCTGCACGGCCCCAGTACGGCGATGCCCACCGTGGCCTTGGTGGGAGCTGGTTCCCACCTCCCGGGGAGTCCACTGGGGGGCGCCCATGACCTGTGGCTCTTGCCAGGGAAGCCTGATGGGATGTAGGTGCTGAGCAGGTGCCCAGGTCAGCAGCCCAGGGACGGTACTAGGAGCTGGAGGTGCAGGCCCTGGCTGCCCCAGACTCCCTGCCCCTTGGACACCCAGGACCTCCCCAAGGACACCTGTGTGCATGCACAAGCGCGCGCCCTGGGTCCTGGTCTCTGGGTCTCTGCCAGCCCAGTGCAGCCAGGACATACAAGTACCACTCTGGCCATGCCTGCAGAAAGGACCTGGGATGGAGCCCTGAGGAAGGTCCCCACTCAGTTTCTACTGCACAAAGTGATCCTTCAACAACAGCTCTCAAGGCCAGGATGAAGCCTACTCTGACTCCTGCAAGAAGTTATGCTCACATAGAAGCCAGAAGGCACTTCAGCAGCTTGGACACAGAACAGCAGGGTGGCCCAAGGTGCAGGTCAAGTGCACAGCGGTCAGACAGACTTCTACAAGGGAAGGAGTATCTGAGTTGGGTCTTAGAGCATGAGTAGGAGTCCGCCAAGCTGAGGAGAAGGAAAGGGCACTGGCTATCTGGGAACAGCCTGTGGCAAGTGACAGAGGCATTGCTGAGGGACACTTTAGGATACATGGGAGGATACTCCAGGCCTGCCTTGCCGAAGGCCACACCGCCATGGGTGGCTCGGAGTGGAACTCAGTCTGGCATTGGCTCCTGGGCCCTTCTGCTCCCCACCATGGCTTCTTCCCTGGGTGACTTTCAGGGGTGGGGCCTCACCTGTCAGTGAGGGGGCTGTGCCCCTGTTGAGCGTAGGGAAGAGACTAGGACCACCATGGCCTATCTGTCAAGACTCTGGGTGCTAGAGAGCCATGAGGGTGTAGGTAGAGTAAGCAGGCACATGAGTGGCCCCTCTCCCAGCGTCACCACGGCAACAGAAGCATCACAGAGGGCCTGCCTCCAGGGCAGGGAAGGGACCAGCATGGCCCAGGCAGGGCCTGTGCTGGGCCAGCCACCTGCCCGCCCACACCCTCTCCCAGGCCCATCGCAGGACCAATGGGCTTACACCGAGAGAGAACCAGTGGCTCAGCGTGGCCGGACACGTGGGCAGGGATCTACAGCACAGGCCCAGAGGACAGCCGACACCAGCGCCATCTGATCTGAGCAGTCCTGATCCCTGGGTCTGGGGACTGAGCAGCTCACTGGCACAGAAGAACAGCAGGAGAGGTGTGAGCACAGCTGGCTCCAGTTTGGCCAAGCCCCATCCCTCCAGCAAGGACAGCAGCCTACACTGGAGTAGGCCAAGCCGGGCACCTGTCTCCACGAGCTTGGCTCCACTGGTGCCACGAGGTGAGATGCCAATTCCCTCTGTACCCCACATGTGCTTGGCATTGGCCCAGTCACTCCCTGGCTGCCTGTCCCAGCCAAGGAGGATGAGGAGTGTGGGAGGCACAGGGGGGGTGGGGTGCTCTGACCCTCAGGGCTGCAGCCCGTGTTGCCTATAAGCCTAAGCTCTTCCTGTGTCCGTGGGTTTGTAGAAGGAGCTGCCCCTCGCTGGCTGAACAGGCTCGGTGCACCCCTGGCTCCAGATCCATCCTCAGCCAGCTTTTTCTTTCTTTTTTTTTTCTTTTTGCGGAACCAGGGATTGAACTCAGGCCCTTGCGCTTGCCAGAGAAGCGCTTATTCTACTGAGCCATCTCCCCAGCCCCACCTTGCCCATTTCTGAAAACAATGAAAGGTAGTTGGAATTTGGACAGGGATCACAGGAAATCTGTGGCTTCCTCTACCATCTTCAGGATGGTCCGGTGTTCTCACAGGGCATGTCTGTAACTTTATTTAGATATTCTTTAATTTTACTCAGCAACATTTTGTAGTTTTTACTGTGTAAGTCTTGTACCTCCTTGGCTTCAGATTCCTAAGTATTTTTTCTTCTATTATTGTAAACTGTCTTAGCTCCTTTTCTTATTGATGAGACAAAATATCCATCACCCAGAGAGGCAGTGTTCGTGTAGTGCACGGTCTGGGGAGGCTTCGGCCCATGCTCAGCTGGCTCCGGGGCAGGTGTGTGGCCGCGGGCATCGCAGAGAAGGAGCGGCGCAGGGCAGGGCAGGGCAGGCAGGGCAGGCGACGAGCCCGCAGCACGGGAGCAGCAGCAGCAGGTCTGCCTTCTCTTGCCCTTTCATACCCGCCCACACTTAGAGCCTGTGGCTGGGGCCGCCCATCCAGAGTGGGTCTGGCTGCTCCCCATGCCTAGAGCTTTGCCAGTCAGAGGGACGAGTGAGCTCACTCAGCATTCGCCACAGCGTCACACACTTAATCCTAGACTCACACACCCTTGATCCAGCCACCTCGGAAAACGCCGCCCAGGACCACGGAGTGTCTAAAGGGACATCTGGATACAAGCCACACGTGAACATCTTCGTTTGCTTAATTTCATTTCAAGTTGTCCAGCGCATACAGCTGGCTTTGTACCCCTCCCTTGCACTCTGAAGCTGCTGATTACCGGCTGTGCGGCTTTCCCGTGCGCAGGTGAGGCTTGCTGCGTGCGGGGCGGTGCCCTCTGTGAAGAGCTGTCCTTCTGCCTAGCCCCTCCGCGTACTCGTCTCTTTCGCTTGCGTGAGTGTCCTCGCTAAAGCTTCCAGTGAATACAAAAAGGCAGTGCCAGGCACCCTTATCCACTTGTGGTCTGAGGAGGAAACTGTTCAGTTTCTCTCCACTAGCTGGGGTAGCAGAGGATTTTCATGGATGCCTTGGAATGGCACGTTTCTATGTTTCTTCCCATTCTTAGGTTGTTTACTTCTTTGTTTGAAAAAGGGTCTCATCATGCAGTTCAGACTGGGCTTGAGCTCCCTGGGTAGCCTTGAACTGAGAGAAATCCTCATGCTTCAGCCTCCCCAGTTGTGGGATTATACTCTTCTTAGTTGTGTGTGTGTGTGTGTGTGTGTGTGAAATGAGTGGGGTTTTTTTTGTTTTGTTTTGTTTTTGGCAGAACCAGGTATTGAACTCAGGCCTGTGTGCTTGCCAGGCAAGCACTTATTCTACTGAGCGATCTCCCCGGCCGAGTGTGTTTTGTGAACTGCTTTGCATCAGTTGAGATGACTGGGTGGTGGTTTTATCATAACAATATGATGTATATACATTGATGGATTTTCATAGGTTGAAACGAGCAGTTTATGTTACTAGTAAATAATGCGATTGATAGTCCTGATGCTGCACTGCTGGGTTGGACCTGTTGCTATTTCCTTGAAGGTATCTGTGTGTCTGTTCCTGCAGGATGTTAGTCTGTACGTTTATTCTTCTAAAACCTGTGGGTGTGGTGGTGCGTGCCTGTAATCCTAGTGCTAGGGAGGCTGAGAACAGGAAGGTCGCGAGGAGTCCGAGCTGCAGAGTGAGACCCTGTACCAAACGCAAAGGATCATTGCAAGTTCAAGGCCAGCCTGGCCTGCAAAGTGAGCTCAAGGGTGGCCTGAACTGCGTAATGAGGGAGGGCCAGCAAGAGAGCTCGGCAGACTAAAGTCCTATGGCCGAGGTTCCGTCCCGGTGTGCCCTGCTGGCATCCCCCCCCCCCCCCCCAGGAACACTAAGATAGATAATTGAGACTGGGAATGATGGTGTGCACCTGTAATCCCAGGTCTTTTTTTTCATGTATTTAATGCAGTGTCTACAGGGTCTCACTGCACAGATCAGACTTGTGATGATCCTCCTGTTTTCAGCCTCCCCAGTGCTGGGATTACAGCATCCACCATGAGGGTGGGCCTGGCCCAGATTGTGAGACCAGGGATCGAACCCTGATCCCTGAACTTGCCTAAACAGGCGCTTAGTTCGCTGAGCTATCTGGCCGGTCATGGGGTACCAAGATCGAACTTGAGACTTTGAGCTTAGAAGGCAGGCACCTATGCCACTGAGCTATCTCCCCAGCCCATAGGCTATTTTTTAAAAATGTATTTAATACAGGGACTACAGGGTCTCACTACACAGGTTGGACTCATAGTGATCCTCCAGTTTTCAGCCTCCCAAGCGCTGGGATTACAGGCACGCGCCACCTCGCCCAGTCTTGGTCCCCAGGGTGGGCCCAGAACAGCACTTTGGGAACTGAACCCCAGTTCCTGCATCTGCTTACATAGGCACTTTAATCCACTGAGCTATCTGGCTGGGCATTTATTTTATTTATTTTATTTTTGTATTAATTTTATTGAGAAACAAATAGCAATGAGACCGTTTCAAAACCGATTAATAGGACAGTTTCAATAATTAATGCATTGCATATTGTTGTCTTTGTAGTAGTTATTCATGGTACAAGATGCAGACACGATATCCTGTCCAAACACTACTAGTACAAATCTTTCTTCTCACTGAACCAAGAGAAAGCAGCTGTATATCTATCCTATTTGGTACATACAGATACAAAATGGTCCTTCATTTGTATCACCTTTCTTGTTTAGTTTTGTCAGAGATGAGTATTCCATTGCCATTTAGATATTGTAGGTGCGTGAATTCAGCAAAATATTCCAATATAGTCCAGTAGTCCATAATAGTAGCGGGCTATCTGCAGGGCTGGCAATGTCAGAAGTTGTTGACTTGAGGCTTTTACAGCTCAGCATATTAATATGGCTTTACTTTTTACACCTCATTCTTATACTTTTCTGCTGCATGGTTATATTTTATTTATTTATTTTTTAATGTATTTTAGGGCCAGGGAGATGGCTCAGTAGAATAAGCATTTGCCTGTCAAGCACAAGGGCCTGAGTTCAATCTCCGGTTCCGGGGGCAGGGGGGAGGAATTTTATACAGGGGCATATTACACAGCTCCTAGCTCAGACTCATAGTGATCCTCCTGTTTCAGCCTCCCCAGTGCTGGGATTACAGGCATGCGCTACTACACCCCCGCTGAGCATGCCTGGAGGTGGGGCTGGCCCAGAATGTGTGTGTGTGGGGTTTGAACCCTGGTCCCTGCACATGCCTACGTAGATGCCAAGTCTGCTGAGCTATCTAGCCGTCCCCCCCCCCAGTCTATTCTTTATTTGGGAGTTGTGCTCACTGGTTCGGTCTCATGTGGGTCTGCTCATAGCTGCTGTTTCTTCTGATTAGTTCTGTAGCGTGCGTGTACCTAGGCATTGCCCCACTTCCCATCTCCGAGATCACTGTATAACTGGTTGTTACTAGCAACTGAGCCTGAGGCATTCAACCACTAAGCTGCACTCCATTTCTAAAAATTTGTTTTCAGCAGGGGAGGGTGTCTCAGTTACTTTTCTCATAGCTGGGACAAAATACCTGACAAAATTAAGGCAGGGACGGTTTATTTAGCTTGCAGTTGGTGGAGGTTTCAGTCCATCCTTGGCTGGCTCCAAGGCGAGGTGACAGGTGACAGAAAACAGCAAAGAGCAAAGGCGCAAGGAAGGAGCAGAAGCAACAAAGGCAGAGGCAGGCCTCTCTCCCTTCCCTCTGTTGCCTTCAGGCTCTCTGCCACAGGGCGGGTGTAGCACTCATGCCAGTAATCCCAGCAGCCCTTATGCCCATGATCCCAGGAGCCCTCAGGCCCGTGATCCCAGGATCACTCAGGCCCGCGATCCCAGGATCACTCAGGCCCACGAACCCAGGATCACTCAGGCCCGTGATCCCAGGAACACTCAGGCCCATGATCCCAGCAGCACTCAGGCCCGTGATCCCAGCAGCACTCAGG